TCTTTCCCTTTCTGTACAATGAACATTCCTTCGCAAAACTGATAAATGCATGCATACGTATGACAGCTACAAAACTAAGTTCAAACTGAGTTATTCACTTGGGAATCTCATGTTCGTAACAAAGTTTCAAATATAATGAAATAGTAAATAGACTTCTTTCAACTATAGATACTTTCCAAATATACTTTTTGCATTTCAAATAAAGTAAGTGTATATTCAAATTGTAGGCAGCAGAAGGAAAGAAAAGAAAAACTAAGAAAGGTGTAAAAACTGTGAAAAGCTAAAAATGCACAGCATAGAGAAAATAAAGCATCTGTTTAATATCCACCGTGTTATTTGCATGCTTGAATATTTAAATCACTTTTTTAATGTTAGTACGAAACCAAGTTATCTAATTTATATGAGTAAATCTTATCAGAATGCTACTTCTTTCTTCAAAGCGGACATATATCTAAGAAATGCAATTAATTGGAACGGGAAACAACTCGCGAACAAGAATTCATTTTACGAAATTGAATTTGTAATCGGCGACATGAAGGATTAGATTGAAATTGTTTGAATTTCTATCCTTTCCCGCTCTCGACACCTACTATCATCACAAATAATTAGACGAATAATCACTTTAATTTTCTCTTGTGCAAAATGCACAAGAATTAAATGTCCAATTTTATTATTATTAAATATCCAATTTGTAACAAATGTAATTTTATTCTAATTTATTTTAATTATTATTAAAAAGATGAATCAAATAATTCCGTTATATAAAAGAAATTGAAATAGAAACTGAAATAGATAGAAAATAATTAGAGAAAGTTAAACAAAATTCAAAACTTTCAAGCTAATTTTTTAAAAATTAAGAAGTTCATCTTTCCCTTTTTATAAATTTAACAATTTATTAATTAATTAAATTAGTAAAATAAATATTTACTAATTTCTTCTAATTCAACTGGCAGAATGTCTTGATAACATGTATGAGCACCTCATTCGTGATACGCAATCGCTTTGCACTTTCATCAATTGAATCTATATCTCCGTCAAACGGCTGCAACATTTTGAAATCATCTCATTCATACTTAACTAGAGGGATAAACGCGATCTTCATATTACTCAGCTGGAACTTTGAATTGCATGACCAGGTAAGCGTTAAATGCACCGCTAATCAGAGACAAGGCGACCTATATTCGTATTCCGCATTTAGCGCTAAATGCGGCCATCATTGATGCTGAATTTTCTTTGTCCTATATAAAGATCGTATCTGCCATCGCGTTATTACGACAGATCGAAAAGTAGATAGCCACATTTAGCGCTAAATGTATGATACGAATATAAACTAAGGCGTTAAATCATGATTTATGATGCGAGCTTATTCTGTATTAGCGCGCTAAATATATGCACGTTCTAGACCTGGATGGCTGAATTATATAAAAATTGACAACATAAAGTAAAATAATCGTACAAGTCATCACATATGCGAAAATATATCGTATTTTCTACAGTGATATTAAATTTGGAAAAACCACTCGCGAACAATATTTTGATTGACGACATTTTAATGAAGATCCATTTAATCTTTGACTTTCTATATGAATTCACAGTGATTATATACATACACATGCACATACATTTTAATTTTATTTTAATGTTAAAGTGCGATCCTCATATTATTCGGACGTTTCATATTTCGGAAATTCCAAAATATCCATATGATTGCGTAAAAGCTTAAATGTGACGCGAAACATAAATTCAAATATGAACGGTAAAATATTCCGAATCTTAGCGAGAGTTATTGCTTTGCTACGATTATTCACGTCAGGATTATCAGAGTTATGATAACAAATCTTGCTATTATGATTTTAGAAATTAGTTTCATCTAAAACGGTATCTGTATCATGAAAAAGGAATTAATAACGGCTCATTACGCATTAAAGTTATAGCAGAGCTAAATCGTTATTTCTGAAAACTGAAGAACTGATCAGTTAATCCTTAATGATCTTGACATTTCGAGCTTTTGATTGTTATTAAGCTCTCTCGGTTTCCTCGTTATACAAATTATCGAAGAGACATTTTAAAATACATTATTTTAAATTGAGAAAATTTAATTTAAATTTTCAGCACACCCACATGATAATTATCGAAAGCTGGGAGGGCACTTTTACGAGCTAATACATTTCTACAAATGTATCGCGAGCGTGCAGCTATTTAATTCTGAAGGGAGAATTTATTAAAGCTCTCAGCTGCACATCGAAGATTCGACAGATTCCATTTGTAAGTTTCGCAAACACATTTCAAGTGCTCGGATGTCTGGTTTAGAATCGAAGGAATAATTTAAGACTCCTACAGCGTGCAGGAGTCAAGCTCGATGGTCTTGCATTAACGTTACAGATACATCTCTGACTGTTTGGTTTCGAGCTTAAATCATTGGGATTAACACATGGAACCTGACAGACTCTGATAAATTGGTTGAGGGCTCGATTCGACATGAATCTCGAATCCTACGCGAATGACGACTCTCTCTCTCTCTCTCTCTCGCGCGCGCGCGCGCGCGCGCGCCCGTATCTCCGAGCTGCTGCCGCGCGTATTCGCACGGTAATTGCACACTGGCTACCATTTGAATAATTTCATCCACGCGGCAAGGACACGTACTCACCAGGGACGTACGTGGTTAGGCAGTCCTACGCGATCTGCGCCTAGTTGCCGAATGAATGGTCCGTTTCTGTGGTCACCGATGACCGCGTCCGCCGCGCCGTTCTCTGAGGGGCGTGTCTGTTGTTGCCATCGAATGCACAAGGATTGTAAATGCGATCGGATCGGTAAAATTCTTAATCGTTGCGCTGAATAACGTTCGATCGCGATTACGCGTGGACGTATACGTTGTTTCTCGAATCGATCGATCCCGCGATTTGCTGCACTTTGAATATTAGTGCACACAGCCGTTCACTCGTGATAATCCCCGGTTATACTAGCTAAGAGGAACATGTACTCGAACTCGGCGAGGCACCCCGCGGGACCTTAATTATTACCCGGAAATACTCGAGGTGATTCTCCTTGACTCCCGAACCTTTAATCATTCGACTAATTCATGGGCTTAGCTCGAGGGATGCAAATTTAACTTCTCGACTTTCTCTTCAAATGCGAAGGAAAGGGGTCGTAATGCCTCCTTTATCGACGAAATACTTACTCGTCGGTGAGATTCGTCAGCGGAAGCTTAAATCTTAAACGTTAATCCCCGTCGTTTACGCGATCTTTACCAAGAACAGCGAGGACTTGGCCCCCTTCGTAGCAAACGATAATACCAACTTCGCAAATTCGGTAGCATCAGAAATGAAAAAAGAAGCACTGCTCAAGTAGTCAGAGCGAATGTTAATAGGTCTCTGTTCGCGTTGTTTGAAATCCCCTAGCACTTAAAATTATATAAATATTATAATCGAGCGTCGAAAAGAAAAAAAGCAGAGATGTCGAGTATAAAAAATGCAAGCAACGCGAACAGCCTTGTCGTGTTACGTAAACGATGGCACAAATCGAAGATAAAACTCATTTAGGACGAATTAATATTATCGTGCCGAGACTTCGAAGCCTCGTAGGCTGGTATTTATAGTCGGTTTTTATGTCCAAGATCGTCTTAAGATGTCATAAATCAATCGCAGAGGATATTATCACTATAAAACATTACTTAAGATGTCTTGAAATAAGAAACTGACTATGAATACCGGCCTTAGAGACTTTTTACAACGTTCAAGTTACGGTGCCGCAAAAATCACTGTTGTTCGCGGGGACGTTATCTTTCTAAAAAAAAAAGTGTATCTCGACGAATGATTAAAGGACTTTCCGTCCCAATGAAGCGGCCAAGAGGAAAAGGGCAAGATCGTATGTAGTAGAGTAATGTACCTTGAGTTTTTCCACTCGGGCGAACGTTCTCGTTGTCCCGCGTTTCACGATGCGCGATAACAAGCGTAATTATGTCGCGAACACGTGATGATCCGTCCTTTGCTCCGTTCCTTTTTTCTAGATCGATGCCAACAATCGGTCCGTATATCCACGAAGCGCGTTTTGACGATACCGTGCGCGTTTACGCGTTAAAACGACGCATCCGTCCTCGCGCTCGCGCGCGCGCGCAACACTCCGCCCTCGTACTCGCGGCCACGTTCGCGCGAGTCTCGCGGTGACTCGCGGCGAAGTTCAGACGGCGCGCGCCCGCCCGTCCGTCCTTCGTCGTTCCGCGCTTCCCTTCATTATTACGTACAGTAATAAAGAACGGCTTTAACTCTTACCGGTGATCGACGGCCGACGATTGACAGACGTTGCAACCGAATGGTAAATACGTTCACAGTTCGCGTGGCACGCGGACGCGCAGCTGCTACTAAACTCCTTCTCGAGCGGGCGCGAACCAAACGTGACTCGAAGTGCGCGCGCCGCCACCGCCGAGAAACTGGCGGCAATGAATATAGCCCCCGTCGACGCGACGGCGTCGTCGTCGACGATGACGACGCCCCCTCGCCGGTTAAAACAACCCCGAAAGGGTTGGCCTGCAAACTTCTCTCGATCAACTCTGCAGAAGACTAATAAGGAGTTGCAGCAATGTTCGTGATGAAGAAACACGGGAATTATATATAGTTGGAAAATTTGTATTAAATTTAAAACAAATTTAATATATTTCACGTGTCCCAATAGATCATTTAAATTTTTGTATTAATTTAGAACAAGATGAATAAGTTAGAAATTAACACAAATATTTAAAAATTAACAGTAAATATTGACGCAATTTGTCAACGAACTGAAAGTATAGCTTTTCAGTAAAATTAACATTTATAATATACATACATTAAATTAATTACATGTATTTTATTCATTCGTCCGAGAATTTACATTTGAAATACATTATTCTTATGTTAATTATTCACTTACTCATAAATTGTATTATTTTGACACTAAGAAATTGAATATCAATTTAACATAAAATATTTAAACAACGTGATTACATTATATTAAATTAACACCGGAATATATTAAAAATTCAACACGAAATTTTGTGTTGACAACAAGAATTCGAGTAGGTCATTTCTAACATAAATAAAATATATTTTACTGTATATTTTTATTATTTTTAGTTTCGTAAAACAAGAATAGAATAACACAAACAGCGCTAATATATCTTCCTAAACACACTCTGGAAGTCATTTTTCAATCAGTAACGATTTATTTTGATTTGATGACTTGTTATTGTTATCATAACTTGTTATTCTACTTATCCAGCTGTGGAACATACAATCATAATTTAGATTAAAATATGATATGATGTAAGTCATTTTAGGAAAAATCACAATGACGTCATTCAATATACTTTTGTGATGAATTCTTAACATGATAATAATATTTAACTAAATTTTTAGCTAAAATAATTAATAGATAATTCATTATTTCTCATTTAAGCAAATCTTCATTATTAATAACAGAAAGGTTTTACAGAAGAATTGTCTCCGCACTAGATTACATAGGAACTGATATTCGAATATCGAGATCGTTGGATCGCAAATGGTAACGCAATTACGCATACACTTCGCGAAACATGTCAGTCATTTCAAATGTCTCCCGGCAATAATTAAAGTTCCGCGAAGTGCTTCCGCTAAGCTCGAATATTCTCCCGCAAGTTTAGCGGGTTTATAGAATCATCGGTGTTGCACGGTTGCATGAACTGATATTCAAAGTGCAGCAAATTGGCTCTTCTTGTTTCAACAAGAAAATAGTGGAAATCGCTCGGGTAAACTTAGCAACATCACGTGATGCTTTGTTACCTACTTAACAACTTCTTTTTTTATACCATAAACCTCATCGAATACAAAAGTTGAATTTTTTTTCGAGATTACACATCACCAGAATTCATCCATTATTTTATCATCAGAACTATCTTTCTTGATGATACCGTCATTTTCAGAGACACTCGTGCTTTACAATCGCAGAAGAGAAAAGAAAACAAATAAAATTTATTTGAAAGAATTACGATAGAATAGTTAAGAGAAAAAACTGTGGTACATTAAAGCTTTGTTTTTTCTAGCTACGTTTTCTCTAACTTTTTATGCTCGGGCCATTAAAGCCGACAATATCCCGAGGCGTTTTTCAGAAATCACACACATGCGCGCGCGCGCGCATTCACACCCTCCTAAATCGTTCTAAATCAATTTGTGGTAACGTGAAACAGTCGTTACATTCTCAACGTGATTCTTGTTATAACTCGAGGCGAAAATGTCTACAATTGTCATCCTTGCGGAACAACGAGCGAATTTATGTCACATGGAAAATTGCAGAGCTAAAAATTTTATATAAATAAGCGTAAGATAAAGAAATGCAAAAATTTTCATCTGACTTAAATTTTGTATGAGAAAGATGACGTCAACTATCATTGAATTTAACAATTTTATGTACACATACTATACATATACACACACCGTTGAATTTAATAATTTAAATAAACAACAATTTCACCACCTTGTTGAAAATTCATTTAGACAATCTGTTTCTTTTGCATATCATATCGCTTGAACAAGTCTCTGGGTTAGAATAAAAACAAGTCTGAAAGTTAATTGTATTTCGCCCAGCTAAAAATATACTCCATATGCCGATCGCACCTGATCATACAATAGATGTATCAAAAAAATAATATAAACAGATATTAACTCAATGATAGTTTTTATTACATCAGAGAGAGAGAGAGAGAGAGAGAGAGAGAGAGAAAACGAGAGGAAAAAAAATTTTGCATTTTTTTCTTCTCAAATATTCGAAACCATATCTCTCTGATCCGCAGACATGTATTTAAAGATTCGATTGAGGTGCACCTGAGCGAACATTCAGTCTGGTAACAAACATTAATCTAATTAAACAAATTTTAGAAGTTAACTTTGTTATACATTTGGATAAAATTTTCTTTTAATCGGCCAATTTACACGATCAAGTGTACGATCGATCGCAAATGTGATCACAACGTGTACGTGTATGCTTACTGACGATAATTTAGGTAACTACCACAAGATTTATAATTTAGAATGTAACCAACTGTCGACATTTCTACCGGTAGAATTCGTTGATTTTAATCGTGCAATACATGCTTTTGCAACGAGAGGTCTCCGATAGTCTCTACAAATACAAATTCGAAAAAAATTATTCGTTCAATTACTTGTGTGTGATTTATTTTTTACGTTTTAAGAAATAATTAATTTAACATCTCTTTTACGTTTCGCTATTCCTTAATTTTCATTAGAGTAGCTCAAAGAGAAAAGATCGCAATATTTCCATTTCACGCATTCGATGAAGATGAAGATAAGATGTTCGTGCAAGGGTATGTGCGGAATAACGTTGAATTTCAGCCGCTGTTTGAGAAATATGCGTGGGATATATTGTCTGATGACAAATTCGCTGCATACAGGTCAAGGAGTACCGCGCTTTTTTTTTTGTCAACTGGATCGTAAAGCACGCAATCTTGTCATCGACATCGTCATAAACGAGCCAAGGCTCTCGTTGCGCAGTCGCTAATTAATCGTCATTTCGTCCCTGTAAAAACTGATTAAATACAGCTAATTGCTGCAGCGAGAAAATAAATAATGATTTCATTAATTTTCTATCTTTTTTCGATTTCATCTGAAAAATAAAATAAATCGATTAAACTTCCACAAAACTTTAAAGATTGTGTAACGGTAGTTCATATTCATATTTTAGTACATTCTTAATCTACGTTTTAGTCTAGTTCTTTTTAATTCAATCTAAAAGTCGTCATGTAAAATTCTAGTCAAGATACGACTCATATTACTACAATCTTAAATATTTTTTATTATACGTACACGAAAAAACCGGGTTTAATTAAAAGTGTCTAAAAAATAAAGACTTCGCTAGATCGTCCAACGAAATTATTTCCAAATCTGTATCTATAATAGCTAAATTTTTAGATAGCAGAAAAACTATTCTTTCCTTGTATACTCAGCAATCATCAAATGCAAAGTGGAGGATATCAAAAGGCAAAGATAAAATACAGTTTTAGATTTCACACGTCTGGATAACGGCAGCTATTTACAGCGTTGCGATATACATAAGTCTGAGGCAGATTTTGATCAAACACTATGACGTTTTCATATCGATGTCTTATCGGCGGACGAACTAGCATCAACGCAAAGATTTATCATAGGTATAAAAGATCTTAACTGCAGTCTAAAAATATTCTCGTGAAAATAGCTCTAAATCTCTGAAACTCAAAATCGTATATTTATATGTTCTATCATATTAATATTAAAAATTGTATGATTGTTGCAATCACACATTTAAACATTTTTAGCTTCTATTGAGAGTACTTTTTTTTATGAAATCTCAGTCGATAAATAATTTTACTATTAATTAAAAACATAATGACATAGGATTATTCCTTTTATTTTCATTTTTAGTGTTAAAAAAATATACTTTCATTTTTACGTTAAAAATGAAAATGAGAGAAACAACTTTTTAAAGCCTTGATCTTGATATATGATATCAAGATCATGACTTTGAACAACATTTAAAAGGTTTTAACCATCAATCGAACACCTTAGATAGTGCTAATCCCGGTGGTACTGTAACTTTCAAATCTTATAACTCAAAAAGTACTTAATGAAAAAATATTTTGTTATGATGTTTTGAAAAGCTCTTGAGGTAAGCTATAAGGACACACACACACACACACACACACATATAATAAAAATAGATCTTTTTAAACCCTAAAACTATTGTCTAAACATATTTTGGACTGGACCTTATTCTGCGAAGATAAAAGGAATATATGGGTAATCTGTACACCCTGTATAAGAAACAGATTTTAACATCAAATTTAATTTTTCAACATTCTGAAAATGTCATGTGATGAAAGCTTTTATCAGAAGATATCTTGATAGAAATATGTTACGTTATACATATATGCAACAGGATCGGTTGATAAATATAACGCATCGTCGACATGTGTACGAGTATATAAAGATGAACTGATTGTCCCGATACTCTCAATTACTCGAAAGTATCGTTTACGGAAAGAATACAGTCGTCTGATACGGTGAATAAAAGAATATCTTAAAAATGGAAACCATCAATGTCACCAAGAATAATGATATTAACAAATTGTTCTCATTTGAAGAAGTGAAGGAGGTAACAAAACGCGCGCTGAGTAATGATGCCAATCTAATAGAATACGCTATTCGACCGTACTCCAGCGGCAGGCTCGGATATCTCAGCTCTCATTATCGGCTCGATGTAATAGCTATGAGGAAAAAGGAAACCATTACTCTTTCATTCTTTATAAAGGCCGTACCTTATGAGGTGCCCGATTCAGCTGACTACGTTATAGAAAAGGGTGTCTTCAAGCAAGAGACAATGTTTTATAACGTCATAATGCCGTTACTTCTCGAAGGATATTGCGGAGAATCGTGGGCGGCGATGTGTTACAAAATAAAGAGCGATTCGATGGTCCTTGAGGAATTAAGTGATAAGGGCTACTCGATACGGGACAAATTATTCGACAAGTCACTCGTAAGTGCGGGTTTAAGCACTCTCGCGCGAATGCATGCCGCTTCTTTGTTGGCGGAAACTCGTCTCGGCACATCTCTCAACCGGCTGTATCCTGACGCCTTCGTGGAGAGAGGCTACGCTCATGAAGGGATGACGCGAGAGTGGATGCAATCAGGCATCGACGTAGCCGCAGTCGTAGCCGAAAGTATGGGATACGATCCCGACCTGATACGTTCGGTCTGCGAAGAGATATATCATACTACAAAGCCATCGCGCACGAAGACGAACGTGGTTAGTCACGGGGATCTTTGGGCCAACAATCTTCTCTTCAATAACGACGTGCCGCCTAAATGCTTGCTGGTAGACTTCCAATTATTGAGATACTCTCCACTAGCGCACGATGTGGCACAGTTATTGTATTTGTGTACAGACCGAAGCTTCCGAGAGACTTGGGAGAGCACCATGTTGCATCATTATTATGACACGTTGCGGGAAACTCTGAACATGCACGAAATCCGTGTGCAAATACCCCCATGGTCAGAACTGATCGAAGGTATGGAGGAACAACGTCTAGGCGCCGTTATTACCACGGTACTCTTCTTTCCTACGGTTTTAATGGACGAGAATCTTAGCGCGCAATTAATGAACAATCCGGCGTCTTACATGAAGTTCTATTTTCGAGACAAGAAAGAGTTCGTCCTCTTAAACATGAAGAAAGATCCGATTTACAATAAAAGGATCAGCGAAGCTATCATCGAACTCGCCGAATTTGCTTTGCGATTAGACCAATTACCAAAACCATCTTAAAAAATTAGGTATATATTTTATATAGTTGATTCGCACGTATCCAAATCTTTTATTAACGTTTCATCATTATACTTTGTATGTCTTTTATATATTTCATTTTACAAGAGATGTATTCATCGATAATCGATAATTTTATTATCTTACCATCATAGTTCGCACAATAATTTTTACACGAATCAAAGAACGTTATCTTGATCGGGAAATATAGCAGATAGGAAAGACCAGTCGTGACTGGTAAGTGGCTGTGCGTTTGCATCTTCGTCCATATCCTCTTTCTCATTCGTCGACGTAACCACAGGTTTCGTCGGCGGTAATACCTCGATATCCCTTACATCTGAAGCATTGTCCTGATCATCGTCATCGCTATCTCTGAAAATTACAAAAGAATCAATATGTACACAATATTTATTCATATAAAGCAAAGTAATAAAGTCTGATAACTTTAACAAATGTAACGTGCACAAATTTATTCTGTATACCTAGAGTTTTCGACATTTCTGGAATTCTGATTTTTTAACGGTTGTTGTCCTGCCAGCGACAAAATAAATGACGTGCACAGCAGTCTCATTGGTGGCAAAGTATGAGCGGGAACGCTAAGTAACTGAAAACCAAGAACGATGATAAATGTTAAGCGATTATAAGAGAATAAATTCTGTGGACCATCGATCAAAAAAAAAAACATTGTAGACATTAATGGAATGGCTTCGGTCTCGAGATTCAAAAGTATGTTTGCCACGTATGCGGCACTTATGACAATCGGTCAGTCAGATGACTGGTTAATTAGTTTTAAAGCTGACACACAGCACACCTCCAAGTGAAATTTGTGCAATTCCTGCAATCTTCTACTTCAGATCTAGGTTGATTCGTCTGTTGCAACCCACACGAATATTCTCCGTAACGTGTACACTTTAGTGACAAACGCGCATATATATGTATTATAGTCGAAAAGTTAAAATGTACTTTAATTCCGTTGATAAATATCTGCTCTTTGAATAATAAGTTTATAATTGTTAAATACAACGGTTTTCCTTTTGAATAAATGAATACTTTAAATAATACATTAATTCGCAAAATTATGCAGATTTAATACTCTTTTTAAAAATATTTTAAAGAAAAATTTTTTATTTCATCTCTCATAAGTAGCAATAATTACTGACAATATGATATATTCAGTCCATATTTGTATTATTTGGCATTTCTCATTTCAGGATGACGCGATTGTCGGTCAATTTCAAAGAATCATGACCAAATGACGGTCAATTTCAAAGAATCATGACGACAATATTCGCGAAGTTGTTCACACGAAAAATGACCGAGATGGCCAGAATATAGCTTATTATCACTATAATCAAGACAATTACATACGCGTAAAGTCTGACGTTTATGACAGGTGACGCAGTTATTCATAAAGTACTTATTAAAGTACTTGCGCATAACAATATGTGAAACGTAGGAAAGAAGATATTCTGATCTATTTTGAGCGCAAAACCGCTATTTTTAGCGTAGAAAAACATATCTAGCCTTTCCATTTAGTGCGAATGTTTTAATAGACTATAATTAGTGAATATTTTACACGGTTCAAGTTGCAAGAATGATAAAAAACTAACATTATTAGTCGAAAAATTACGCTTGAAGTAGATATTCTAGGTGGTCAAATCTTGGAATTCTATGGATTTTGTACTCGACTTAGGCCGAAACATGTTTTTAATTTAGACAAATATCTCAAATAAATATATAAAACAATGAACTCTCGATAATAAAATAACAATAATGTGGCAAATAAAAGTAACGGCGCAGTAATTGGAGCACAAATTACTATAAATTACATCATAATTTTTCTGTAATAAACAAAATATCTCGAGAACAATCTATTTTTTAAACAAATATTTTATATAAAAGTTGTAGGGTTTAAAGAGAGCCATCAGATAAGCTACTTACATTTTGGATTAGGGCCTACTTTGGGCTCAATACAGCCCAAGATTTTTTTTTCTGTGGAAACGCTTATATTTTATTGCAGATTCGTATTCTATGGAACAAAAATAAAGAAATTTGTTCTTGATAATTTTTCATTAAATTTCCTTTAACATGCGTAAAATAACGCTCAAAGTTCTTATTTTGAAATACATACCGGCTAACAAAGGCAAGACAGCAGACAATTAGGCCAATAAAGGCAATTTATTTCAATATATAAAAAAAATTGTCCGCTGGTCTTGCCTTCGTTGACCGATATGTATTTCAAAATAAGAACTTTGAGCGCTATTTTGCGCCTATTAAAGGAGATTTAGTAAAAAATTACACAAGAAACAAAAGTTCCTTATTTTTTTTCCCACAGAATACGAATCTATAAACATAGACATTTCCATCGATACAAAATCACATTAGACTTTATTGTGCCCGAAGTAAGCCTTGGATCCAAAATCTAAGTAGTTTATCTGATAGTCCTCTTCAAACAACTTTTATTTGAAATATTTTTTTCAAAAATGCATTCTCGAGATATTTTGTGTCTAAATTAAAATGACTAAACATGTTTCGGCTCAAGTACAGAATCCATAGAATTCTAAGATCTGATCATCTAGAATACCTATTGCAATCTTTCACTTGATAACGTTAATTTTTTCCTATTACTTTTGCAATTTAGGACGTTCCCTTGTCAAAAGTATAAATAAATATTAAAATCATCAACAAATATTAAGAATATAAACAAAGAAATAAAATAAGAAATCCGTAAATTGATTTAGATAAACATAAAATGCTAACAAATTAAAAAAAAATTAAAGGTATAGTGTAATTGTAAAATATCATTACAAAACGTTGGTAGTGGTGTGTCAATGAGACAGATTGATTTAAACTTTGCCCTCTGTACCGGTGTGGCATTTTATTAGTAGGTATCAATCGCAACAATCGAGACGGTCAGCGAAGAAGATAAGACTGTTTTCCTGCTGGCCTGGTTTTACATTTGCAAGCAATCTCAGACAATTCTGCAACAGCGTTTGCTATTTTCGCATCGCGCCAAGGTGTCCTATTGAAATCAATGCGGTGAAATACTTTGAAAATTAAGTGGAATACAAACTTCATCGTATTTTTACATATTCGAGTAATCCTAAAGTGATATTTTGTGACATTAATTTTGCCCGGATTTTGTTGGATTAAGTCATTTTGACTGTTTCAATATCATACATGTTTCATTCTTTTTAATAATATATTTTTGCATGATATAATTTGTATTGAGATCGTGTCATATCACTAGATTTATAAATTAAATAAAATTTGAAACTGACCTGACTAAATGAAGATGTCTATCTTTGGATATAAAGAATCACATAAACAATAGATTATTTAATTCAAATACTATGAAATATTATAAACTTTTCCTCATTTTGACTAATTTTGTCACAAAATATTTCTCCAAAATGCTCCAAGTAAAATGTTTTAAATAAAATAAAACATCTTGTTACAGCGCACATCATAACAAGTTCAATGATCATGCAGGTCAATTTTCAAGGACATGCACTTCAAATCTCAAAATGATAATTAAAATCCTGGGTGTTTTTAATAAGAATGAACAGCGACAGACGAAGCTACTTTTAACACGTACATTTTTGATAGCAGTAGAATACGTTACATCTCGCGCGTAACTACTTTCGATAAATTTCTCGACGAGATATTTCTTGAATTTATTTTCGACACGTCGGATTAATTATTCGATACGAATGCGATGCATGTTACATTTGCCCTTATCTGCTTTTTCCAATACAACGCTACCTCACACTGTTCAATTTGCCAGGCCAACTTTCCGCCCACACGGAGAAAAGACGACTTTGTGATAACGCCGTCAAAATAAACTAAAATATATATATACACGTAAGAATGCATATGAATAGGTGCCGAAGCAATAGAGCTCGCAATACAACGATTGTGACGTGAGAAGCACAGGATTTCCAACGAAGTTTTCCTGTTGTTCAGTCGTCCTAAAGGGACAACTAGAACGCCGTGAGAGGGTGGGAGTCTCTATATTAAATCATGGCGAGACTTCTGCTGAAAGCCAGTCGTTCGCGGAGCGTTGGAACACACATGAAGGGTCTGCTCTGTGTCCTCCGATTGTTATAAGGACTATTTTTCCGTCTACTGTCTTCTTCGCGTTGGATTGTGTTGGTTCGTCGACTTCACGCATTGATAAAAACTGGATAAAACCACTTGACGTAGCTCTGTGGAACACTTTGATGCAGATAAATTTCAATTAATTTGAATTTTTCGCTGAAGAAAGAAACTGTTTGGGAAGAACTCTCGAAGAGGGATCTGATTGTAATCGAGAAGACGGAATAGGCTAGAGAATTGAGAAAAGGAATAAAAAAAATCCAGAGTCGAGACCTTCTTAAATATTCCTATTTCGCCGGAAAAAAAGCCGGTTTCAAGAATGAAGCTAACTGCATTAAAATTGATGTTGTGCCTGTTTACAACACTACTACTCGCAGTGATCGCCTTCGGATATCCCGCCAGCAACAGCGAAGCAGTAAGTGTCTTTGTATGCGATATCGGAGTCGATACCAATATTAGAGAATGATGTAGTTGGAAATTATGCGATTTACCGATTTTAAATCGCTGGATTTCGCTGAAGTACAAGACGCGAATGACGCACAAGCATAACGTTCCCTTTTCTCGCTGAGCGTCAATTATAAGAAATGCACCTCATATTTTTCTCCATTGTAAGCACGTGGGATGTCGAAAGTACAAGTGGACGTTGGTCATTGAACGGTCCTCGTTAAACTAATCTTTATTTGTCTGAGAGTGCGATGATGTGTCCAACCATATTGAGCCGTAGGTGGTACGTGATTTTATAAACAGGAAGACTTTTCGCCAAGATTTCAATGACTTTTAATCCTTCTCATTGTCAGTAGCTTCGTCCTGATTTCAATTAATGCGGTCGCTCATTATGTTAGATAATTTTTTTCCTCTTATTCGCACTTCCACTAATTTTTAACGCACTGGTAATTTTTCAGTTTTTTGTTCACAGTAATCCTAATAATTCTGTTTAAGCTATATAATTTGCAGGCGATCGAGAACATGAGGCAGATTCCACAATGGCATTGTCTCCGCTATAGAAAGTTTGATTTTGTCCGTCGCTGTCGGAATTATCGCTCAGGAAGAAGACACTGACAAATGGACATTCAATATGATCCACGATTGGCAATACATTATGGCAAATTTCGTCGTCCAATCGTACAGAACACTCCGTTTCAACTCATTAAATTAAATAAATTTAGGTTTATTTAAATTAAATTTAAACATATTAAATTAAATTATATAGAGACATCCATAAAAGCATTTATTAGTTAGAAAAAGAATTTAGAATGTTTTTCTATCGAAGAAATCTGCATTAAGTGCGACTGACAATCATGATAAGAGAAATATCATATTTTATAATTTTATTTTCATTGATAAATCCTTTATCTGCATATATGTATATATGAAATTTTCAAGAGAATTCTATTTTCATGTCTATTGATTTTAAATTTTGAGATATGCAAAATAATGCATGAGATATACAAAATAAAATATTAAAATGAATTTTTATATTATCTCTTATAAAATATGTATAAATAATTAATTTGTTATGTTCTATTTTCCCTTTTTACATTTACTTTAGATTAGTAAACTCTTATTTATTTTGCAAATTGCCTCAGTTTGTTTACTTAATGTAAATTTGATCTCAAATATAATAAAATTTTTTTATATTTTCCAAATAAACAAAATTTTTTTATTGGGGCATACTAATTGCAAGAATATTGCTAACAGAAGAAATTTATCAAGAATCCTAAAAGTCGCAAATATTTCAATTTGATCATGATATAACAAAATACAAATGACAATATACCATTTCAAATTGATTTTAATTACATAAAACATTTATTTCATAAAAATGTTTTCTAATTTCAGAAAATTTATACATAAAGTATGCAACTTGAAGGAATCTTTGCATAAAAATTTTCGAAGCGCAAAATTCTACTTACTTCTTGTATCATTCCTTTCGCTGGTATGCCAAGATGTTCATGAACTTGCGCGACAGTTGGCTCTTTGCTCGAAGACGTTTGAGTCGCTATAAAGTTGGAGAAGGCGGTCAATGGCATAGTTCCTTTGTCTGAAATAATCTCTAAAGAAACACTCGCTTCAGATTCTGGCTCCAATGTGAGCAATTCCTAAACAGAGTACAATAATAGATAATAAAATATAAATATATTTACATATATCAAATTAATTTAAACATTATACAATTAGATATAAATTTATTTAATCTAAAAATATACCTGATTTGAATCCAAAAAGAATAATTGTGATTTTCGTTGCCATTGGCCAAAGGAAGGATTACGTTTTTCCTGTAGATGAGGTACAAAAGTAGCCGCTAATATAGAACTGGTACTTTCAATAAGGCACGTTTTCTTATAAATGAGTGTTGCACTTCGTGGTGTAAACACGTATACTGAAAACAAGTGAATCTTTCTATTAAAACATAATAATAAAATAAAATAAAAAATATAAGAAAATATACATAATGATGTGATTATGAGATTGTTATATGACAAAAAACAACATATATACATATATATATATATTACAATATATTAAAATAAAGTTTTCAATAATAATTTCTTTAATAATAAAATAAATAATATATAATATATAATAAAGAAATTTATATACTGTACAGCATACATGAATTGTCAGATGTAAATGCTGCCATGTATGTAGATTTTAAGTCGCTTGTGAGACTCACGACGTTCAAAGGTACACTCCATGTTATAGCAAGAGTTAAAATATTCCAAACTGTTATGTGCTGTTGAGACACAACCACAACAAGATGACAGACCTCGTGTTTGCCGAATTCTATTCGTCTATTATAAACATTTTACAATTAGGTCTTTGTAAAGCTTTCCATGTTTAGCTAAGAACATACTTATTAAAATAGTTATAGAATGTATTTTATTTTTCTTGACTTACGATATTGGTTCATTATACTGAGAATGTGTAAGACTGGATTTTAACTCGCAAGTTTCGGGCAGCCATAAAGTTAAGGTAGAATTAAAACCAACAGCTAATAACGAACCATCAACTGAAAAACCCGCATCTGTAGCGGCTAGATTGCGATAGTCTCCAACTCCATAACAATACCAATGTTTTGTCTCTTTGTCTATAATAAATATAATTATAACAAATAATGATATACATACGTTTCGCTAAATTTTAATGAAGCTATTTTATTACACAAAATAGATAATTAGACATATGTACCTTCTACAGTGGACGATTTTCTCAAATTCCATAATTTAAATTTATTATCTCTTCCAGTAGTAACAGCTAACCATTCTCCATCGTCAAATGTCGTATCTGGTTGAAAATGTAGCGCATTTATTCCATTTTCATGAGGTAATTCAATGGATGTATTTAATACAAATCTAGAATGTGATAAGTTATATATTAGTATTGCAGTTATATATAGTCTAACAAATATAAAATTTACATATAATTACATTTGCTTTTTCAAATCGTAGAGCCAGAATTTTAATCTAACTTCTATAGATGAAACTTTATCATTTCGTTCTTCAACTGTTGCCATCCATGTACCATCATGATTTAGAGCTATTTTTGTAACTTCTGTATTTACAATAATTACATCACGTTCTTGGGTCAGAAAATTTTGAGCAGTTATATTAATCTGGAAAATTTGTCAGTTTTATTAGTTTTTTACTTATTTATTCAAATTTTCTTTTTATATCGCTTTGCTTTTAATGTGTAATAGTCTACTCACATTGTACAACAGATTTTTTGTATGAATGTTATAAAATTGTACGTGTCCAGTACGACTATTTAGAACAAGACTACCTGTTCTTGAGTCAACGATAAGCCCAGCAGGAAATAAATTTTTAGATGACGAAGCAACACCCCATGTAAAGTTTTGTATCACTGATGTCAATTTTCTTTGAGGATTTACAATAACAATACCTTATAATCAAAACATGATTAGTTGTCATAAACTTGCTACATTAACTCAAATTTTCATGATAAAAAGTTTTACCATTGTCTAAAGTTGATACAGCAACATATAAATTATCTGGTGCAATAGTAAGATGTTTAATAGGCGCCGGTAATCGTGGAAGGAATGATTTATGTTGGGGATTTGCTAAAGTCCATTTTACCAATACACACTCACCACCACCTGTATACATATGGCCACCTGTAAAATAAAGAAATGTGTTATATCGTGCCACATTAAATTACTGCTTTGTAAATATAAATTTTCAACGCCTATTACCTGACTTGCTAAACACTATTTCTGTAATCGGTAATGTATGCCAGTGAAAAACGGCTGTATACGGTCTAGTCTGGAATAAACTTCTCCATACTAATACACGACCTGTAGAATCTCCTGTGGCAACACATTCTTCTTCTGGATGTCCCGCTATGCAAGTAGGTACTCTACCAGTTTTACCAGTCTTGTGTCTACATCAAAATTAAGTATTTAAAATATATAATATTCTATCATACATATAAATAATTACATATAATTCCAAAATACTTTACATTGTATCAACTAAATTTCTAGCTGGATTTAATATATGTAAATCCGTGTCATGCAAAAGTGCTATTAAATTCTCTCCATGATTTCCAATTATATCAGTATAATATTCGTGTGATTTGGTCCTAAAGTAGATAATAAATTATTAAAAATGATAACTATTAAACAAAACTTAATAGAAAAAAAATTAAAAATATTTACAAGATATATATTGATCTTATAAATGTTCCAGTTTCTATATCAAATAAAAGTACATATATTTTGTTCCTACAATCAGAGAGATGAGTTATTAACGTTTGACATATTTCGTTTCCCTGAGCTGTTCTATGTTTTACAATGTGAAAGGTTTTAATTTTTGCCTTGTCCTTTGCTAGAAATTTTAATTGCTGTAAAAATATAAATACAGTATCATTTAATACCTACAAGTTTGTAATAACAAGAAAGAAATTAAGAAGTCAAAGAGAATTAAAAATTAAAAATCCAAGAATAAGTTAAAAATTAATAACCAGTATACACACAGGGTGTCCCATTTTAAATAATGCATTATGATTTCTTGAAAACTATGGTAGATACGGAAAAATGTTTCAAATATAAAAGTTGTATGGTTAAGAGGGGGACATAAGAAGGTATCATTGATTTGACTTTGGGTGGCATTGCCAAGGCCAGGTCAAGGTCACGTCGATTTTTTAAAATGGAACCTCCTATTTTTCATTACATTTTCTTACCTCGAGAGCTTTTTAAAACACAATAATAAAGTTACTTTTCATTAAGTACTTTTCGAGTTATAAGGTTGAAAGTTACAGTAGTCGGCATTAGCATTACGCAAGGTGTTCGATTGACGGCTAAAATCTCTTGAATATTGTTCAGGATCATGTCTTGGATAACATTTACCAAGATCAAGGTCATTGGAGGTTGTACCTCCTATTTTAATTTTTATGTAAAAATGAATTTTTAGTGCAACCATAGAACTTTCGTTTAAAACATTTTTCTAATTTTCGAGAAATCTTAATGCATTATTTAAAATGGGACACCCTGTATATTATAAAATTTGAATACATAAAGTTATTTACAAATAAAAGAAACATTAGCAAACAAAATAACGTTTTAAGCTCTTACTAATTTCTTAGTAATTATTCCACTTTGGCAATTCCAGAAATACAGTTCGCCGTTTTCGGTACAACCAATAATAACACTGGTATTATCTGGATGCGATATTACTCCAGCAATTCTGTAATCCAAGGGCTCGAACTCTCGCACAAAGTCTCCCGTTTGCGTGCTGTATACCCTTATGACATTTTTCCACACTATGTACAGAGTTCTGAAAAGCAAAATATCCATTGCACATTGATAGCTACGTATAATGCCCAACTAAAACCTCAAGAAAATGAAATAAAACTTGAAATAGGAACTAAAATTAAACTTACTCTCCATCGCTAGAAAACAGTGGACGTTGATCAATTATACTTCCACCGCCTTTCCTCTTCACAATCATATTTCCGTCGCCTTTCATCTTCACAGTCATATTTTCACCGTCTTTCTGCTTAAGTGTATACAAATGCAATTTAAATTGTCCGTAAACTCTAATTTTATGGACATAACCTTGTTAAGCTAAACAATTCACCGCAAGTTACGCTTATATCTATAAGATTAGTTTTTTTTTCAAACAATTTCAATTGTATTTTGACACTTGCGTACACATAGCGTTTAAAATTACATAAATGTATTTACTTAAA